TGTTTTCCTTCCAACTGAGACCAACTGCACATTCCTTCGAGATGTCAAATGTCAACAGGCATTTCTTTAGACGCTGTTTTTCTCCCTCTAGAAGTAGTCGTCAGAGTGTTAGATTTAAGGCTCTTTTATGAGTCCTTAAAGAACTTTAGGTCCAGGGGCATTTACAGACTTCAAAAAATCAAACCCAGCCCATCTTACCTGGATCAGAGCCTCACGTTGTTTTGAAATGTTTAAGGCAAAAGGAAAAGGCTTAGGGAATAGAGAGGCTGACTGTTCATGTAGATCCTCTTTCGTCCGTGAAAGTAGACGTATATTTGGAGGTGTAAAAGTGAGAGGGGAAACACGGGCATGGCATATATGGCACCTGGGTCACGGTGCCAAGACCTAAGTAGGCTGATTTTCCAGGCTCGGGTCCAGATAAGTTATTCAAGACTGGAGCCAGGGAACCTCTCAGAGTCACAGGATGGTAGTCCAGCAGACGACCTTGGACTTCACATCTTTCCATGTAGAGGTTAAATGATCAGTCCAAGTTCTCATAGTCCCTCCGTCCTAGAAACGGGACCACCCACGCCCTAGGTCTCAGGACGGTTCTTGGTCTCGGGCTTCTTATTTCCAATGTGTTCTTCAATGTCGGTCTCTGGGCCAGTCCACCGGTAAGAGTCTTGTTAAAATAAGCAGTGAGATGCCTGCTAGATTTTGTGGCTAGACCTTGTCCCTCTCAAGCCAGGAAACTGCCACCTCCCACCCGTGGCCTCGGGGCTAAGTCTGGCATCCGTGCCAGTTTGGATCATGTTCTCAGTCAAGGGGAAGCCAGCTCCTGGCTTAGGCCCCTGTAACTCCTCTGTGCTCTCATTCATTGGTGTCCAGGGATCTGTGTTATTTACTTGTTTTCGTTCTCGAGAAGGAAAGGCCCCTCCTCTCTTTAGGAGGAACCAAAGGAAAGTATGGGTCAGAAAGCGAATTTTCCAGCACAGTGGGCTTGGTGAAAACTGCCAACTTTGAACTCATGAAGTCTGTAATGATATGAGCACAAAAGTAACAAGCCTTCAAGATAGAGTATCCAGACACAAGTTCATTGAACTGGCTTTGGGGATTTCCCTTGATTACGTATAGTCGATAGATATTACAGAATACAGAGAATTATAAAGAAAATATAAAGTACCTATTACTCCAGCCACTCAAAAATTGGTACTAAGATTTTTTAAAATGTGTATCCTCTTTTATCAGTGCAGATGAAATATTTTAAATATATTTTTGTTGATTTCAGAGAGAAAGGGAGAGGGAGAGAAAGATAGAAACATCAATAATGAGAATCACTGATTGGCTGCCTCCTGCCCTCCCCACACTGGGGATTGAGCCCACTGTGCTGACCAGGAATTGAATCATGACCTCCTGGTTCATAGGTTGATGCTCAACCACTGAGCCATGCTGGCTGTGCTATAAAATATTTTTAAATGGGCTCATGTTATTCAAATTGTATTGTGGTTTGCTTTTTCTCTTCATTTATCTTGAATATTTTGCTAGTAATAGCCTGATTTTGATGACTAGTATGTATTTAAATTAAGCTTGAGGGTACACATTCCATAAATAATGCATATAACATGTGCTTACCTCACACAGATGATGGATCTGCTCTCTGTCAGATACTGTGCTGGGCCAGTGCTTCCCCCGCCCCCAGAACCTGCACTGACTGGAAAGCCCTAAGAGGGAGTGATGCCTGGAGCAGTCTGGTCTCGGGCTGCCCTAGGAAGCAGAGACTTAGCCAAATGGCCTCCTCAAAGACTCCAGGGGTTTTGCAGAATAAATGGATGAGACGTAGAATGGGAAGAATGAGGTAGAATGGATGACAAGGAAAGGGGACGGAAAAGGCAATTTGAAT